CGACACACTACCAAATGAAGTAGAACAGGCTGTAGGTAACAGAGACCTCATAACATTATATCGAATAACCAGATTGTTATACGGGAAGAAATCAACTCAGATCAAGCCAATGAAAGATAATGAAGGAAACGCTGGATTAGTCATTTTAAGGGACCGTTAAACAGACTACCACCAGCGACTTAATAAAAAATGCTGCCATTAGACACAGAACTACCAGTGAATACCAACCCCAACAAAATCAAAGTTCCGAAGTCCATATAGTTACTAAAAGCCCTAAAAGCAGAAGGCCCAGATGGAATTTCCCTAGAATCACTGAATGCGGAACCCAAGGTCTCAGTGGATATACTCACGCCACTGCTGCAGGTGTCGAAGGAAGGAAAGGTACCTGACAACTGGAAGAAAGGTATCCTTGTCGAGCTCCAAAAGAAAGACAACTTGAGCAAATCTAAACACTGACACGGAATTGTACTCCTGTCTAGTCCAAAGAAAATACTAATCAACACAATCCTGGAGAATCTAAAAGGTGCCCTAGATGGATAACTTGACTCGGAAAAGGCTAAATTCAGGAAAAACAAACCATGCTTGATTACACTGTGACACTACGCATTATTGTCGAGAAGAGCCTAGAAAGACAGCTAACTTATTACCTCAGCTTCATCAACTTTGAAAAACCCTTCGAAAGCGTTGACCGTGAAGTAACTTGGCAATTTCTCCAAAAACTACGGAATGCTAACATTTATAAACCTCATTAAACAGCTGTATGATGCCACAAGCCAAGTGATTCACAACGGAAAGCTTAATGAAGCCTATGAAGTAAAGACAAGACTGTCTACTACCATAGGTGATTTTCTCGAGTGTAGTGGACTTGATTTTGCAACGGCTGTGGGGAGCAAGAAGACACGTACACATTGGGCTGAAAAAATGACCTTAGGTCTGGACTTCGTGGATGACTTATGCTTAGTGTTGCACAAACCTGAAGATCTACAGGCAAGGATACAACTTCAGGTGAACATTCAGAAAACAGAGGTGATGAAGATACCCAAGCAAAAACAAATACTAATCACAATGGAAAGGGGAAGTCTGAAAGAAGTTGTCTCTCGCTTAATTGGACAGATAGCACGTCAAGGATGTCTAAGGCAGAAAGAATTAGAAAGGTAAGGCAGGGATTTACACTTTTAAATCAGTGGGGAGATATACAGAAATTAGCGCAAAGAACAGGATCCAACTTTTCAACACTAATGTCAATTCAGTGCCACTATATTGCCCAGAAACTCCACGCGTCACCGTAAACATTTTCAGCAGGCTAAAATTTTTTATCAACATGAACATCTGCTTGACGCAGAAGATCAGGGATAAGCAACACGGAATTCTGGCAGCAAACCAACCTATTGTCCAGCAAGTATATGGAGGGAGGAGACGGATAGGATATGCGGCATTTAAGCAGTATTTCATGTCAGGTCTTTATATGGGGAGCGAGCAGTCGGGTATCTGAAGTTGACACGGGAAAGACCATATGACGAGGAAATAAAAGCCTGTGGGTAGTCGTGAAGCCAACTAGAAAAGACGGAATAAAATAGAGTACAATGGAGATATACTGAAGCCATATGCTCCATTAGGAACTCAAGGGAGGAAAAATAATCTATGTATTAAAGAATTGGTGGTGGTTAGGAGTGAACACGCACGCTTCGTCAAACGTGAGACTAGTCACTTATATTTACTTACATTCCATTGAGTGTTTCTATTGTTCCAAGCTATTAAACCATGAAAGCATCTCAAGTACGAAGGGTCTAGCGCAATATTATTTATTTGTATTTGCAATTACCCGTTGACATTTATGGACCAAACTCAATTATCTCATTTTATCGTACGAGCATTTTGATCGGATGCCTTGGTGTCTAATTTAGATTCCACTGTCAGCCACCATCAGGCAAATCAATAAAGTTATTCACTGATGACTAAGCACAATCATGCTAAACGTGATTGTTTTTCGAGTGCATTCTGCACAAAACGTAACCAGAAATTATTTGTGGACATTAACGAAGATAATTACAGTTATAAATCACTCACCTGAAAGAAGATCAAGATTGGCTTGTAACCGTGGTGGGCAGTATATGCCATTTGCGGTAGTTCTTGCTGACGTGAGTGCAGCACGGGCTCGTTGTAGATTTCCTAACATATAGTATACACGACTTTCCATTAGCTGAACCTCAACCAAGAGAGCTTTATCGTCCAGTTTTTTAAGCTCCCGCAACAAGCTAGAACCTGATAAAATTAAGAGGAAACACATTACCAAAGGAATTGACATGCTTATCACTTAAAATATTCATACAACTAGAGAAAAAATTCACTAAACTTAAATGAAAGAAAGTGCACAAGAGTGGAGTTCGTACATTTAACACTCCTGAACTTTTAAACAGATGAAGCACAGTTTAACTGAATTGGTTGGTTGGGAGGCAGATATTTAGATGGCTGCTCCACAAGTGAAAAGATAGGAAAGTCACATACAACAAAAATCCTAAATTACCTAGTTTTAATGCTTCTTCATAGCTTCCATTTTCATAATAGAGGCCCATAAGACGAGTTTCCAGTGCTTGACGAAGAAAAACGCGTCGCTCTTGATTGGCCCATTCGATGCAATCCCGACAGAGATCAACCTCCCGACCAGTACCCCCCTCAAGGTCCAAAAATAAGTCCACTAAAGTCCTAACAAGTCGACCAGCCTTGGCTTTACTGATATGTTTGAGAAACGGACGAGTTAGCAAAATAAGATCTGCTAGTCCTGAAATGTAAGAAAGAAATACAAGGTGATTTTTACTTGAAGCATTTACAATAAGAATGGGTGAAAAAATATGAAAAAACAGACGTCTCTTCATACATGACCGTACATCTGAGCCAAATACGCCATCAAGCGCACTCAACAACAGGCCAAACCAATTACAAATGATGCATTTGGCTTTGAAGACTTTGCGAGGTTAAGCGAGTTTTGAACCTGATGACGCACAATTTTGGGTAAAATCTTCCTTCACTTTGTTATCCAGTCTACACCGGCTTTCAGTTGATATTGTGATAACTCAATTTTTGAAACTTTAGGGCTAGCTTATTAAACAGTTAGCGTAAAAAAGTAAATTACATATATGCTTGATAAAACTTAAGGATGGTGGCTACGAGACTACGATCATTTCAATGGGACAACGATACTGAGAAGAGTGTTACGCAAGGATACAAACCTTTAGATGTAAAAAGTTCAGGACATATATTTTTTAAAGATGTAAGCATATAGACAACCATCTGACAAACCTTTTGACCTCAATGTGCACTTTTGTGCCCCAAAAGCAAAATACTGAAAGTCCGCGAAGTGATAATTCATAGTTTAATAACCAAAGATTAAAATCTGGAAGATGTTGGTGTCAGTGAACACCGTGATTACAGCCAGAACACAGGTATGGTGTTTAGTAAAGAAGAAAACCCTCCAGTAGAGAAAAGGGATGACCAGGGGACTGACTGCTCATTCGAGGAATAGATGAAAGTTGAGTTAAAGACAAAAACCGTCGGGTAGTCGGTAAAATACTACGCAACGTCTTCAAGAAAAAAATTTTGTTTAGTTATACAATACAAGAATCTCGAGAGTCCGTAATTATAAACTCTAGGGATAAATTTTCCACAAGGTTTATTAAATTTGGTAAATACTTGCTAAGTAACCATTCTTAGCCTTTAAAACTGAAAAGACTCAAAAGGGGACCTGAATCCAGACAGCTACCGTAACTGGACGAATGCATGCTCAAGTGTTGACAAATAGTATTACTTACGAGGTTAGAAAGCATGTGTTGGGGGAGTAAGTGTAACTTGTACTCAAAAGACAGATGAATGGTTAAATATGAGTGCTCTGCAGCATGAATGGTGGTGGAACAAGTTAAATAATAATAAATAAAGCCAAAAACTTCAAAACCAACCTTTGGCATTTTTAGTGTCTACCAGTAAATTTCCTAGTTCCAGTATGGCCTGTTCTTTTACCTTGATTTCTGCTTCATCTGATCCCACATCACTTTTAACTACGAAAATAAAGTAATCTGCTGTTTTTACCTATATTTTGATACTTTTCGATTAGCTGATCGCGACTTTCTTCACTATCAACACTTTGTGCAGCCGAAACCATTACTCAGACGTATTTTGAACAATCGCGAGACCTTAGAGCATTTAAACAAACTTATATTAATTAAAATGATGGTGACTCTTATTCAGATGAATTTATTATAAATACTTATTCTTAAATTCTACATAATTTGAAGAACAATGATTTTCTTCGAGTCCGTATTAATACTGATTACTTGAGTTTATTCTGTTCATTTTCATGTGTATGAGCGTGGGCATAATTATAGGCATAAAGTGGAAAATGACTGGCTTGTAATGTGATGCGTGAATACTATGAAAATGTTTCCAGTGGGCTTGTAATAATTCACACCGCAACTGATAATGCTTTTTGCCACAGCTGGCTCCTTCTACCAGGAGGAAATGTTTGGCCATTATGGATAAGGACAGCCATTAATGTTTTAGCACTTCTTTATCTATTTGTTGGAATCGCCGTATCATCCGATGTCTTCATGTACTCTATTGAAAGAATTACTGCCAAAAAACGCAAAATTATAATTTATGATGAAGAACTAGGAAAGACGGTCGAAGATGAAGAATTTATCTGGAATGAAACAGTGGCAAATTTAACATTAATGGCTTTGGGGTCATCCGCTCCTGAAATTTTGCTTGCATGCATTGAAGCAGTTAAAGGGCTATCTGAAGATTCACATGAAGTTCACAGTAGCTTAGGATTATTCACTATAATTGGATCAGCAACTTTCAATTTGCTAGTGATATCAGGCATATGTATTGTATCCATAACCTCACCAACAGTGAAGAAAATCGCCAAATTCAGTGTATTTATGTTTACAAGTTTTTGTTCCCTATTCGCCTATGTATGGATGCTACTAGTTGTTGCATACATCAGCCCAGAAGTTGTGGATATTTGGGAATCTTTGTTAACTTTATTATTCTTTCCAATAATGGTGATATTTGCATATGCTCAAGATAATGAATGGTGGTTGAAGAAATGTTTTAAGTTAAAAAGAAATGAAATCTGCCTCAAAAACCAGAGAAAAATCCTGAGGTAAAAAAGAATTGTGATTAAACTAGTTTATCTTCTTGGTTAATTTGTATGTAACAAACTTATCCTATTGGTAGTCAAAAGTGTTTCATTGTATTATTTTAGATCTAGAAACTTGTTTAGAAGTAAATAAATCCACAAGACTAATTTCGATAGTGATGATCAATGACATTATGGTAACTTTAAGTGTTTCATCTTGCTGAAATTTTGATAGCTTCCCTTATGAATTGAAATTAATTTCTGCAGCAATAACTTCGTTTTACAGTTAGTTGATTTGTCTTTCGAGAAGCAGTTGGTAATTTGATTCAGCCTCTCAGTAAATGGGGAATAGTCTTTCAACTCATCTGTTAAATTTGGGCCTTTTGGTGAGGAAATTTTAACATTTAGATTTTAAAACATTTAGCAGCAGGAGTGGATGTTATGTTAAGATTTTCAAAGAAGGTTTTGTTTTGTCTTGAAATATTCATATTAGGACTTTATGAAAGCTTTCTTTTGTTTGATTTCTAAAGTATATGAAGTTGATCTTAAACTTCAGTTTCCCATTTTGTAGACACTATGTCAGTAAGTTCAGAACTCAGTGGGAGCATTACCCTTATTATGTACAAATACACCTTAATAATGAGCTATAGAAAAATATCTTTACTCACTGTAGATTAACTCTTGACACCTAGTAATAAACCACAGTGTAATATAGTGTGCTACATCATTCTATTTAGTAGTCACATTTCGAAAGCATTCACTGACTAGCAGTCGGAACTTAACAAGTAAGCATATATTTTTGTTTAGTCACCAATTCATATTTAATAAGAATTTCCATATTCGTTTCACAAAACGATATGAGTTTCTTTGCAAACTAGATATTTTCAAAACAATTATTTTTAAGCAGTCACAAATTAATATTACCCTTCATGACCAAATATTTTTTATCGGCATTAGAATAATCAGCATAAGCATGTCCAGTTGCTAAAATACAGTCATAATCTTACATTACTGGTGTACATTGACGCTGACACATTGAATTTAGATGCTTCGATTCACTAAAGGGAGGTTGACATTACCACTTTCAATTTTAACCCCTAGCTCTTTCGAAATCTGGAAGCAGAATTAATTTATTTATCAAGAACTAAATGATATTCCTATGGGTTTATAACTTCCTAGTCATAGTGAATTAGGTGTCATGTAGGGAAGTCGCTTTTATAATAAATCACTTGTTTTCGAGTTTATCTTAAGGAAATTTTACTGAAACAATCGAAGTAAATTAATTATTTGTTACTTTTTGGCGTCTGAAGAAAGATACTATGAAATGTGTACTAGATATTTCTTATTCTCACTGCGGAATACAGATACATTGGGATGAAAAGTCCACAAAGAGGACGAAATGCGCATTACCGGATTCCACTGCTAGTCACCATCCATCAATCAATTTCTTATTCTTGTTGCTAATTTTTGAGATATATTTTGACCCCTTAAATTTTATATTTTAATCACTTTTCCCCATGATTCAATAAGCTGGTTATTTATTTCAGCAACAAATGACTGATAACAGAAGTTTTGAACATTCAGCAGATATAACAAATACTCAGTCAGTAAATGCAGAAAACCGAAGGAAAATACAACCAAGTGAATTTGAATTGCGGTATGTTTTATAAAGAAAATATTAAAGATTAATAAACTGGAAAACTGATATGATTCACTTCGGTAGTTTTATTTTTCTTAGAGCCTTTATGAGGTATTAGGTATTTCATCACTGAGGATAATGATTGGAATATTTTTGATTTCAGGATTCCATCATGAGTTGACATTAGTTAGAGAACCATTGGAAAACCTGGGAGTACTGGACAGCTGTTTCGTCCTAGCTTGGGACTCTTCAGCAGTACGCACCCACCGGGATTCGAATATCACTGAAATAGAAAAATACAACTTGGAGTATAGTTTTAACTTCTGAGCTACAAATATCCTTCACCATTTCAGTAGTATTTTAGTTAGGCGTAAAACAGTTACTCACATTTCATATTCATCTGAAATTCAGTCGAAGGAAGCACTTACATGCAATATCATTTTCATTATCTCAGTAGGTAATATATGACGACAGTCTAAAGTAAAATATTCAAGAGTGTTTTTGAATGGATTTGATTTGTCTGATCATGGATTGATATCAGTTAGAGAAGCATTAAAAACCAGGGAGTAATGAACATCTACTTCGTGCCATTTTTGGGACTCATCGATAGTATGCACCCACCGAGATTCGAACCCACGACTTTCCGGCTAAAATTGAAGCTCCTAGGCCGTTCAGTCCCTGGCCGAATGAACTCTAACTCCTACCAATTCGTAATTTTTAGTGCAACCGGCAGTAATCTCGTATTTTAAATGGTTTTCTATGTGGTTTCCATCCATCCATGATTAGACTTGAAACAAATAGAATCCCAACAAGTTAACCCTTGAAAATAAATCTGATGCTCGCCAGCGAGTGGCTATAGCGCAAAGTTGCCTTGAGTTCTAATAAAAAGTACTGACCAGTGGAATCCACCTAGTCGGGAGTGAGGACAAATGCTCTCTTATGATATTAGCTGATGGTCCCGCTGAAATCACAAATTAGTAGAAGTTGAAATTCATTAGCCATTGGGTCTGGGTCTAAGTGGCTAAAAAGTCCACGAGTTTGAGTCAAGAGTTGGAAATTTGGTTTGTGAGTACTGCTGATGAGTCCCAAACTAGGATGAAACAGCTGTATAGTACTCCTGTACTGGTTTTAATGGTTCTCTAACTGATATCAGTCCATGATCAGACCTCATGTTAAATAGGCAATGTCATAAAGATAAATCAGCGGTATTTGACAGCAAATTTCAGTTCCTCTTGCTTGTCTCTAAACAAAGTACTTAGATCCTACCCTATTTCCACAAAACTAAAATCGTCCCTTGATAGGATAGCGAAAAACTTTCTGTCATCTATTTGTTTTCTATACTGTTAGATTATTAAGAGATTTAAACATTGTAACTAAAAATTCCCAAATAAAGTTTCGATAAAACACCAAGAAGATATAATTTATCTTAAACACTTAGTGTATTTGCTCAAAGTGTTTCAGACTTTGTGGTCACACACATACTTGTCATACATGCTTAGATAAAATGTAACATAGCACAAAAGATCACAATTTTTATCAGTGTAGATTTCAGATAAAAAGTAGAGAGGACATGTAGATCTCTTCAGGTTAGGGTTATAGAACACATTCCTAAGTGGCTGCAAAAACAAATAATATCATTTAATACAATTAGTCCAGGAAATTGATGTCCAATATCATCTATCGCAAAGCACATTATACAAATAGACCATACGGTTGATTTCTATAGTGCCTGTAAACCCATATATAAAACGGGTTTGGGTCATACAAGTCAGCCTTGGTTATAAAGAGGCTTAAACCCATTTTATGTGTGTTTAAAAATGATTTGTCATTACTCTGAACTTGCTTTACTAATCCAGTTTTAGAGTCAAGGTTCATTTTACAATAAATGGATGAGAATGTTCTAGAATAATTTACGGTCAAGGGTCAAATTAATAAAATTACAATTAGGAATTAAAATGCCATAATAAAACAAGGGGGGGGCGGATAAAACTCAAACAAAGTAGCATCATAATTACTGGGAAGATTGACATATTATGCAATTACGAGTTAGAAATGTGGGGAAAACAAAATGGACGGGATGTTTGGATAAAAAATCTAGTGTGATCATATCTAATTTGATGAATAATTGTTTATGCAATTATCCTTATGGAGAGTGTCTCTTGCTTTACAGTGTTTAAATAAAATAGGAGTACAAATTTATCGATTTCCAGAATGGGGAATTTTATGACTAATTTGTTACTGAAGGCAGTGCTCAAAGAAAGAAAGCTTCTGTCACTGATTAGTAACAACACTTTTGAGTTTAGCAATAGCTTCATTACTTTAATAAGGTGCCAATTTCAGTTTAGAGAACACAGTGTCCAAAAGTTTGATTATCTATTGGAAATCATTGTAGTGCGCTAAATTAAATCCCTGGAAACCTACAGTTGAATATTAATCTAGTACTCTCTAGTGGCTGGCTGTATCCAGAAAGGTAATTACCTGGGTTCCAGTGAGAAGTCGTGACCAGCGGGGTAATGCAGGTCAAGTGGAAGGATAAATACTTGCTAATAACATTCGCTATTGGTCCCTCTGTATCGTGAATTGGCAGAAGATATAATTCATGGTCCATTGGATCCGGTCCCAGTGGCTGAAAGGTGTACGAGCTTGACTTGTAACCGGAAAGTCCTGGGTTCGAACCTCAGTGGGTGCCTACTGCCAGTGAGTCCCAGACTAAGAGGAAACAGCTGCCTGGTACTCCCAGATCTTCCAATGTTCCTCTAACCGATGTCAGCTCATGACGAAATCCTGTGGAGAGGTTTAATAAGAAAAATGGCTTATGGTTGAGCTTGACAAAGAAGTGATTTAGACTGGACATGTTGTAAGGTCGATAAATAATTCCTTGATAATGTGCTTATTATCGTACACGAAAATCTTCATTTGACAAGACGATCCTGTGGCTGCACACTGATGAGCAATAAATTTATCTCATTTCTGGGTTACGCAGAGAATTGGATTAATTCCAGTGTGAATTTCTTTACGAACTAATTTCAGTTAGAAAATCATTGAAAATCAGTAAACACTGAACGGCTGTTTCATCCGGATTTAGGACTCTTCAGAAGCACACGCCCACGGCCTCACCAGGGATCCAACCCATGACTTTCAGTTTACAAGAGCAGTTGGGCCGAACTCTGTGAACCATGAAAAATAAATTTAAAAACTGTTATTCAGAGTTAATCAGTTTTTACTACCGTTAAGATAAAAAAATCCCCTATAATCTTAAGATTAAATTTCTTAATATTGTCTAAAATTTCGCAAAATAGTCATTTTTGATGTTTTACTTTTATTCGCCTTAATCAGTATGGGAAGACGAGGTTCTGAATCTGTCGTTCGCAGGAAGTTAATGAGTGAACAGAGGTAAGCGGTTAATTAGTTAGTATTTTTTTTTGAAATTAATATTATATTCATGTGAATTAGTAAACGAAACACGATTTTTACACTTTAAGGTTTTCATTTATTTATTTGAGTTAGTAAAACAGGGAACAGTTGACATTGAATTGTAAAAGGCATGTGTTTAAAGGATTGAGAATTCATTCATAAAGTCACTTTCTGTACCCTCGTTGAATTACTTTTTAAGACACTCATTCAATGACTGATAGTATTCTTGTGAATTAGAAACCACTACGGAGCTCGAAGCGTTGAACATCCCTTTCATACTAATTCACAGTGCATCAGCATTGTTCACATAACGGATCCTTGTTGATTCTAAGATAAAACTATCGATTTTTGAGGACAGCAGTCTCCTTTTTGTGTATAGAGTTGAAGTTCACTGACCTGTAGTTTTCAAATTTTGTTATTTCATGTCAGAAAGTAATCTACAGTTCATATTTGATCCTCAAGGGGATGGTAGCTACTGATTGTTGAAGACTAACCAAGTAGCTGTGCAAAACTATCTAACTGATATTAGTTTGTAACGAAATTGACTTTAGGCTGTCTTTATCAACCTCATTCAACAGCTGGCTATATGAAAATTTCATATGTCAGGTGGTGGTGATCCCCAATGGAAAACTCAGCGAGGCGTTCGAAGTGAATACAGGAGTAAGATAAGGCTGGCTGCCTATTATCACTGATGATATTCTCAATTGTGATGGACTGGATTATGCGTTAGACTGTGCATTGGAAGTGAGAAAACAGGAATACGCTGGACCGCCTATAAGACGACTAGAACATTTGCATTACTCAGATGATATATGTCTAATGTCACTGAGACTCGAAGACTTGCAGGCGAAAACTTACAGACTAGCAGGAAAGGCTAGCAGCGAAAATACGACTGCAGGTGAGCATAGAGAAGACGGAAGTGATGAAGATAACCAACCGACGGCAACAACAGCAGGCACGTGTCGCCATCAGTAGAAGAGATTTAACAGAGGTTACCTCCTTTACCTACCTAGGAAGCATCGTTTCAAATACAGGCGGAACGAATAAAGATGTCGCAACCAGCCAGCCAGAACTGAAAAGGCAAGATACACCTTCATCAACCTAAAACCAGTTTGGAAATCTTCACCACTGCACTCAGCCAGAATAAAGAAGAAGATTCGGATTTTCAACACAAATGTGAAGTCAGTTAGTCAGTTCTTCTTTACGGGTCAGAAACTTTCGGTGCGAGTCACGAAAAGGATTTCCAACAACCGGTTACAGACTTTTATCAGCAGCCACCACCTTCGATGGTTCCATACTGAAAATCAAATTGCCAGAAGACCAGAAAGAATTGGTAACAAGAAACTTTAGCTGGGAACAAACCATCTAAGAGCCGACTGCTCAACAAATTTGTAGGAGGAAATGGAGACGGATCAGTAATACGTTGAGGAGGCCATCGAGTGACATCATGCGCAATTCAGGCCATGACTCAAGTAGAATTCCAGTGGGAAACAATGAGTGGATCGTCAGTGCGACGGTGAGATGGAGGAGATTGAGCGAGTTAGAGGAGATGAGAAGATGGCAAAAAATAGAAGAAAGTGGGATGTGTTTTTGAAGCGCTTTGTTCCTCTCGGAACTCAAGGGAATAATAAAAAATAATAATATTATCATGAATTTCTTAGAAATTCAGTGGTTTGTAGGTTTTCCAATTATCAAAGGAATGTATAATAAAATAGACAACTGATTATTTGTAAAATGAAGTTTGTTAAGGACATATGAAACTGTTTGTTATCAAAAAATCACCTTTTTATTTAGGGGTACTTATTTTGACTCCAACGCTGAATTTAGACTGCTTTACTCCAGAAATGGTGGTCTGTGCGTCAGTGATTCAGTGGTTGAATGCTTACCAGCCATAAACGCTGTCTGGAGTTGAATTTCAGGTCGATACACTCTGTAACCGACTAGCCCATTATAAGCCTGGAAATGAGGAAAGGCTAATTAGGAGGTTAGAACTCACACCTCCTGAAAATAACGTCATCGTTGCTGAAACTTCAAAGCTGAACCATAAGGCCTTATCTTGAATTTGGAATGCAAAGAAATGAATAAATCAGTTCAGTCTCAATCAAAGAAACAAGATAATCAAACCACTGAAGTATACATAATGAAAGCAATTTCTCCTTAGAAAATATTAGATTCTGAAAATGTACATAATGTTATCAAAATATCATTGGTACGGATTCTTAAAACATTTCAACATAATTTGCAAATAATAATCCAAAGTTATGGTTTGTGTAAATGATTAATTTAAAAATTCCCTATTTACACTGTAGTAACTGAAATCCCTTTAGCTTTGCTTCTGCTTAAAGGATTGTGATTTGAAATCTGAAGTCATTAAAGTTTTCACTTCAGAGTGCATTAGGATCATCTTACCCAAGGTTATAGTCGTACCATTTAGTGGAACTGAACCTCACTGACTCACCACTTAAAGTCCATAATATATACAAAATCTAAGTAACTGCCGAAGGTCAATCATTCATAGTTACCATATTAAACTGTAAAGTTGTGAGTCTAAAAGTTGTCTTGTTTATAGTATGATCACCTGTTATACTGATTCACAAATAACTGAATTTTATGCAAGGACGAAATAGTTCGCATTCACTGATTGATTATTAAAAGCATATCATTAGGAATCACCGTGCAACTTTCGCCTGATATTCTTCCTCATTCTCACACGTTCCCAGTGGAACATAAGTCTTCAAGCTTGAGCTTTGAAGCTTCATTTTCATTGATTGTTTTTGCGCGGTTACGTTTCTACCTTCATGTCCAACCTTCCCATTTGTTGGGCTTGCAAGTGTCAAAGGCAGGTAAAGGTGTGAGGCAGTCGGGAATAGAACCCTGAACCACATTCATGTTTGACGAGGATTCAACAGCCGTATCACTGAAGCATAATTTCGCATATAAATATGCGTAGTGTATTTAGTCCTATTTGTGAAAACCAATCGAAACACTTTTATAAAATGGGGTGATAATTCAGAGAAGAACATAATCCTGAGTCATAGGAGAATTGCAGTTATTGGCCGCTGAAACTAAGGCTTCTGTTTCGCTTTTCGTGTTTCTAAAGGAAAACTTTTACTTGGTTCTTTCAACTGTTTAAGGAATATACTCTAACCCTTCTTCTACTATCTACTATCTAATTAAATCTAGGTTTCTTCTCAAATGTGAAAATCGCGAATAAGGTGTAAGTGACAATATTTCCCACCATTGACTAACTGGAAAAGTTATTTCAAAATATTTTGTATTATTCAGTTTTAAAAATAGGTGAAATATGCACGAAAAATAAATATTTTGTTACTTTCCTTTCAAAAAACAATTATCAGGTTTGTCAGAATTATATTAAATTTTGCCGTTTTTTTCTCCAATTTTCGGTTTTACATGTTGTGTAGACGTACATTTTCTAGAGGAAGTCTTTTTAGGTAAGTGTGCCACAATTTATTCAAATATATAGTAGTATTGTATTCTTTAAAAGTAATTGGTTGATATCAACTTCGCATCGTTTACATAACATGATTTCTGTAAACTATATTGTGTAGCGAAATAAACAATGATTGTATCTAAAAATGTTTAGAACAATGGCGGTAATAATAAATATTTCTATCTACAGATCAGTCAGTAATCAATCATACCACCACAAGCGTTGTTTGCCAGTAAGTTAGTGAACACTAGGTAGTTTTTATTACAAAAAGTACCAGTGAAATAGTTAAAATATGGACCTATTCTTTTGGACACTGTAGTAGTAGTATGTGATTCCATATTAGTTTGTATATTAGATATATCACACAGTGAAATAGTATTATTATTATTGATTGGATGATGAACTAGAAAGTCAAGAAGGAGAGCTTCCAGTGTTCGATTGTAGCGTAAAAAGGAAAGAAGATGGGAAGTTAAATACTTGTGTTTGCAGGAAACCTAAACATTCAAACCGATATTTGGATTTCCCACCCTATGTCAGTAAAAATAGATTTGGTGAAATGTTTCAATAATAGGGCACAGAAACTCTTTAGTACCAAGGAAAATCTAAGACAGGAAGTGAGGTATATAAGAGGAGCTTTGAAACTTAATAAATACCCTGATAAATTAATCGGGAAGTATGTAGAGCAATGTGAAAATGAAATAAATAATAACCGCAGTGATAGTGATAACAGTAATGATAATATTATTAATGACGACATGCATGTCAATCATGCACAGGATAATGACAACACAAACAATAGGGAATATAAATCATCAGTACTACTTCCATAAAAGGAAGGAACCTCGGAAACTTTACGCAGAATTCTTAAGAAGGTAGGAATGAAAGTGTCATTCAAACCACAGACTCAATTAGAAACAAGCTTTGTGGTTAAAGGATTCTGTGGAGCCTTTAAAACAAAACAATTTAGTTTATTTAATACCCTACCTGCAATGATTGTCAGGTTAAATACATAGGTCAAAGTAGTAGAAAAGGGACAGTCAGACCAGCCGAGAATAAAAACCTAGCAAAATCTAGATTATTTGACCCAAATAAGATGCGAAATCTAGCGAATAGTTCAGCTAAACCACTCACTACATGCAGTTACACACAACCATACAATAGATGAGATACGATTACAGTTTTAAAATCTAGTGTAACAGGGTGGAGGGAGAGATAGATAATGGAAACTTAGTTTATCGAATCAACTGCAAATACGTGTAATAGGAATGATTCAACACCTGTCCAGCCAGACATCTCGAAAATTCTACTACCCCTATGACGACAGATAGGAAGGAATAAATAAAACTACAAAACTCAAGTTTCGAATTCGTCTGATTATAATTGATATGATTATGAACAATAAATTGTGTTCGAAACGTCATCCTGTAAATAATACTGTTTCACTGTGTGATACAACTAATGAACAAACTAATATGGAACCAGCTTATCCCTTATGAATAGCAGACTCTGATTAATTCTTTACGTTATTATCACAAGAGAGATGTCAATAAAGTGATTAGTTCTTAAATGTAGTTTTGATGACCAGTTAAATCATGTATTTAGTCAGACAACAGGACATAATCCTTTTGATTTTTTTCAGGTTACAAGTTTTATAGTAGTATTTTTGACGACAGGAAAAACATTTGGTAGACAGACTAGCCTACCAAGTGGTAAAGAAGAATAATAAGCCATCTTATAATGGGAATTATATTATACATTTGGAAGCAGTCGGCAAGAAGCCTTGCCTGACCTAAATTTCGGGCTTACTAGCGCTCATCAGCAAGGTGTATCTACAATCCCTCTGAGACTCGAATCAGTATCATTCAGTGTTGCAGTCAGAGCCATTGAGCCATTGAGCTATTTTGACTCATAACTTACCTCCTGTTGGGATGTAATGGACACACCGATTGGTCAGTCAGGAGTAACCAATGTCATTGCTAGTCTAGCCCTTGGTGTTGTTTCAGATTGAATTCTGTTAGTCACGTTTGCAATGTGGCGAGCCATCTAGATGGTTAAATACATTGCCAATGTGACTGATAGAATCCAGTCTATAGCAACGCCAAGGACTAGGCTAGCATAACACTGGATCCTCCCTAGTGATCAATCAGTGTAGCGAGGATTATGTTTGACAGTATTATTATGGATATGTACCCTTATCATTCCATTCTTTGAATTCTTAACCCATGGTCTCTACAAATTAACTAATAAACGCAAAATCTTTCCAGAAAACAAAGTAGTACTTTCAATAAAAAGAAGACATTTGCATTTCAACACACTTAAGATTAGAATACTTTTGGATATATTTCTCGTTTCCAGTTTCACAAATTATAATCTGTGCGTCAGTGGCACAGTGGTTAGGAATCTCGCCAACCATGCATATGGTCCGGGGCTCGATCCCCTGCCGACGCACACCTGATATCAATGGTCGGCCTGCAAAATTTGGGCTACCGATATCACATGCTGAAAATTTCATACCTGTACCGAAATACGGTGTGGAATCAAGCTATTATTATTATATCCTTTAATTCCTAAAGGAACATAGAGCTTCAGCCGCGCCTCCATTGCCTTCGGTTTTCCGCCAACTTTTCATCCCACTCCAAGTCTGCCCACATGCTTTCATCTCCTCTTCACATGACCTCCTCCAAGTCACCCTTGCACTGACGACCAACTCGCCGCTTCCCATTCGGGTTCCACTCGAGCGATGGCTTGTCTAGTGATGTCACTTGATGGTTTCCTCACAGTATGGCCAATCCATCTCTATTTCTTCCTGCCTATTTGTTTCACAATCGGTTCCTGGTTGGTTCGCTCATTGCCAGAGATCCTTGTTGCTGATCTTTCCTGGCCGGCCATCTGATCTTGAGTATTGAGCGAAGACAACTGTTGATGAAGGTCTGAAGTTTGTTTGAGATGCTCTTTATGACGCGCCAAGTCTCTGATCTGTATAGTAGCACTGACTTACTTCACATTGGAGTTGAAAATCCGGATGTTATTTTTGATTCTGAGTGCTGTTGACCTCCACACAGACTTGAGAGTATTGAAAGCTTGTCTTGCTTTTCCGATTCTGGCTTTGATATCCTCGTCAGTTCCATTCGCCTGTAGTTGAAACGATGCTTCCCAGGTCGGTAGGTAAAGGAGGTTGTTTCTTTTAGGTTCCTCCCATTTATGCTGGCTGATTGTCGTTTGTTGTTGTTGCTGTGGCTGTTGGTGTTGGCCAGGAATCTTCATCACCTCTGTTTTATCTATGTTCACTTGAAGTCCTATCTTCTCTGGATGCTTCTTCTGCCAAATTGTTGCTTTTCACTTGCATATCTTCCAGTTTGTGGGAAATCAGACATATATCATAGGCGAAGTCCAGATCCTCCAAGTTGCTTTTTGTGTGAGTCCATCAAGCTATAATCACAACAATACACTTTGAAACAATATATATATATATATATATATATATATAGCCCTAATGATTAGTGGAAAGTAATATCAACCTCATGTCGAAATAAGGAAATATAATCATTTACTCCTTTTTTTGTTTTCTAAATTTCTATTAATTCGCTTAGTTGACAAAAAATTGTATCTAAATTCATTTGTGCTATTTCATCATCTATCCGATTTATTCCCTACAACCTACATTCCCCTTTTTAATCATTTATAGTATCAGTTAACATGCTAACAATTTATAATTATTACAGGAGAAAATCATTCATATTATTGGAGATTAATGCGTAATTTGATATTTAGATATAACCTGTAATTATTTTATTGCATTACTGGCTTACCTACTTACTTACTAAATGCTTCTATTTTTGTTTACTAATGAAATCGAACCAGTCAAACTCAAAATATGCATATTTTTAGTGATAAATGTACCGGCAGATTGGAGATTACCACTATGTGATTACAACTCATTCAGTTAATAAGCGTATATAAAACAAGCAATAAAGGTTAATAAAGCAGGATTTAATGAATTCATCAAATTTCGGTAGAACTCGTCAGCTGAATACTCTACATACACGAATATATATACTTTTGAAATTACATTGGGAGATATAAGACTGATAAGTTGAATACTCTACATACACGAATATATATACTTTTGAAATTACATAGGGAGATATAAGACTGATAAGTAAACAAACTACATTGAATTAATCATGCAGAGAGACAGGTGCGAATATTTTCCAGGTCATGTTCAAATAGATAAGGGGAGAGAGAGAGTATGAGAGATCAAAATTAAGATAAATTGCATTACGCTTCAATTACATCACTTAGATAAACAATTAGTCATTAGGGAATATAACGAGAATTGCAAACAGACTAATATCAATAGTAATAGTTTTAATAACAATAATAATAATAGTGTTGAAGTGAGTTAAGATAATCTTACGGATAAAGCATAGATTTAAATGAATCAAGAATAATAATAATAATGGTAGTAATAATAACAAAAATAATAATAAGAAGAGGTAGAATAATAGTAATAACAAGTAGAGAATAATAAGTAAAGCGTATTACCATGGTAGATTCAGAGTGACGACCATCTCCTTTTGTATACAGAGGGCTGGTTTGTAAATTCGAATTGCACAAGCCTCTGCAATTGCAAGCATCTTCTTGTTTCTTTGTTTGCTGACGATGGTGAATGACTTGACGGCGTCGATATCATGTCCGTAATCCACGAGATGTTTTGTTATTGAGGATTTTGGGACTTTGCACTCAGCTGTTTTCAACCATTTTGGCAAATGCTCCATCATGCGAGTAGACAATCGCCTTTCCGTACGACCTATGTATTTGCTGCCACAAACACACTCAAATTGATATATGCAGTTTGAAGTGTCGAGGATTGGCGACTGGTCTTTCCCAGATTGTTGAAGCACTCGCTTGGTGGTGTTAAGGATAACAAGTTTTGCAGCATAATAAGTTCTCTTGATGGCTTTGTCAAGTCTTCGTTTCACTATTTCCTGTACGTCATCT